TGATTCAACAGAACTATAAAAACAAGTTGCTGTTTTCATGAATATAAACCCAATAACAATAAAGTACAACTGTCATAACGTATCCCCAGGCCTTAACAGTTTTGCCGCTATACAGAAAAGTGCAGTAGCTCTGTGCAGAGTCTTTGGAAATCAACTATAATAGTGCCTACGACAATTTTTCCAAAACCATTCAAAAACAATTCTGTTTTGACCTTTCTTGTCCTTAGTAATACATAGAGGTACAAAGGTGATTGAGTCATTCATTAAGTGGCTATAATATAATCAAGTCTAAAATCATTCCCAAGAGCATCTCATATCAGGAGGGGACCTGAAGGTTCATCTATTACTGCAAACTGGGTGTGACAGCAAATTACAATTTGTGCATGTCTCACATGTTCAAAAAAGGGAGCCTAAATAATTCCAAAAAGCAATGTTACTATTCACCATTCAGCAGATATCTTTGGGAAATTTCTAGATATGCCCAACACATCATAGAGCAAAAAGCCTAATAAATAACATTGATAGAATCATTAAATCTCCATTTACATAACTAATAAGAGGAGCAAGACAGTACCCTGTGAGCTCAGCTTTGTTCTGGAAACTGCCTCTTGAAAACTCTAATGAGAAGAATTTGCACGCTAAAAGCATGTAACCATGGAAATAACAGACAAGATTTTCTTTTTATTTTTGAGAAAAGGGGCAGAAGTATTTAAAATTAAATGCAAAAGCTCGATCATTTAGGAACCAAAAATGCATTTATTATGGATCTCTTAACCTATGAAGGAAAATTCAGTATGAGTTTGTCATTAACTACAAAAAATAAGCTTTAAAGTATAATTTCAAGATAAATCTTTAAGTGATCAAATTACTCTGTAAGGAGAATTGGTGCAAGCAGCCAAGGACAAAAAGGGTTTCATCCATTCTTCCTCTACAAGGCCTTTTACTTCCATAGAGAACTTTAGTTCAGACCTTCACAGATACACGCCGGGACTATTCACATGAGGAGTCTGCCTTGCTTTAACCACCTTATGTTTTCATTTCCTGTTCAAAAGCCTTTACTGTCTCTTCACAAAACAAACTCTAAATTCCTTGGCCTGGCAGATGTTTGGCACCAATCAATGCTTCCCAACATATCATCCTTAGTCCTCATCCACAGGGACAAACTCTCCCCCACTTCACTCCAGTTCCAGTAATAATGCATCTCTGCATTTCTTCATAATCTTGGTCTTCCTGAAGTGTCCTCTCCTTTCCCTTATGCCTGTATGCCTGAATCATACTCTCAAAGCCAGGTCAGGCACAATGCCTTCTCCAGTCATCCAGGCCACAGTCCCTGCAACTGAACCACTCATAAAGCTCTTTGTGTACACCATCTCTTTCCTGTACGGTACTGATTCTAATGTGTAAATTATCATTTCAGCTGTACTGTAAAACTTAAGGACATTTCTTATACCACTTTTTTATATTCTAGCACCTTTCACCCAACCCCTACCCTCATTCACCACAAGGGCCAGCATCTTTCCAATGGAGGTCCTCAGCTAGCATCTGCTGAGTCAAAGACACATAATAGCAATGATGCATGAAAATCAAAGGTTAAGTATCCCTTCATAATACAAGGACAATTTGAAACAAATGAGACTTCTGAGTAGCTAATTTTTTTTCTTTAACGTTTCTAAGGATTTGGAATCCAAGATGATGCTACCAACTTGCTTTCTTCCAGAAGATACAGTGATGAGTTTGCCCTGGATTTCATGCTCTGCCAATGTGCCTGCCCCCAGAGGGCCTTCTGCTCACCCCATGACAATTCACTACAAATGCCTGTTCCCTCATCTGTCTATAGGAGTAGCTCCTTGAAAGCAAAGGCAGTATGTTCCATTTCTGATCTCTACATATTAGTAGCCCATATAGTAGGAACTCAGTCAATGATTGACCTAGCACCATGACTGTCTAAAGTAAACACAATTAAAGAATAACCTTTACTAGGCACATAAACATTAAGTAAACTTAATTCATGACTGTGTGATTTCAAATGAGACATATAGCCAAAATTTTAAGGACTACATATATGTAAGTACTAAGCACAAAAATGAACGCACAAACATCAAGAGAAATCTTATATGGACATACGTGTTTGCATGTGCATGATTTTTATACATCCTAGAATATTTCTAGAAGAAAGCACCATTTTAGGGAGGGAAAATAGGGAATAGAAGTGTTTTTTCTACTTTCCACTCTTCTGTATTATTATTTTTTTCTGGTGCAAAAGGTGTTTTTATTAAAGCACAGGGGACAGGACCCATGGGCAGAAAGGGCAGCACTGGAGTTGTGAGGAGCAATTGATTATATACTTTGGAGTTGAGGAAGGTAAAGAAAAAGGGAAGTTTCCAAAAGGACTTTCATATGCTAAAGAAGAAGCCCGGGATCCTGGAGGCCTTGCTATTGTCAAGCTAAGGTTGTTTTTCCCTCTAGCAAAGCATTAACATTAAGATGGGAGTTTCCTAGAGGAATGTCTACTCTACCAGCCTCAAGTATTTGTCGATGGGCTGCAGGTTATAAGGAAATTTAATTTTATCTACATTTCTTTTATTGCCTTTGTTGTCTACATCATTCCCCCCTGAACAATTTTGACCCTTAAATCTTTAAAGTTGTTGAGGATAGAAGGTCTTACCTTCTGTAACTTCTTCCTGCTAAATAGGTGCAGAGAGATGTCCCTACCTATGGGTCAACATTGGTAGGTTGGAGAATTTATATATAGGAGCTACCAAAGGCAGAGACAGCCAGTCCAAGGTAGACAATCTTCGGTATTTTTTTTAAACTACGGAACATGTGGGGTGCCTGGGTGGCTCAGTTGGTTAAGCATCTGCCTTCAGCTCAGGTCATGATCCCAGGGTCCTGGGATTGAGCCCCTCCTTGGGCTCCCTGCTCAGTGGGGAGCCTGCTTCTCCCTCTCCCTCTGCCTCTCTCTCGCCTCTGCTCCGGCACGTGCTCTCTCTCTCTCTCAAATAAATAAAATCTTTTAAAAATAAAATAAACTAGGGAACATGTATAACTTTCAAATTAACTCCTCCTCCTTTGTGTATGACCATATGCACAAAGAGCAGTCTAATGACAGTTACAACATTTTTTAAAAAATGAGTCATCTAGGGGTGCCTGGGTGGCTCAGTCGGTTAAATGTCCAATTTGTGATTTCAGCTCAAGTCATGATCTCAGGGTCATGAGAGCGAGCCCCACATTGGGCTCCATGCTGGCCATGGAGCCTGCTTAAAGATTCTCTCTCCCTCTGCTTTCCCCCCACTCATGCATGCTCTCTCTCTCTCAATCAAATAAATAAATAAATAAATAAATAAATAAATAAATAAATAAATAAATATTTTAAAAAATGAGTAGTCTACCATTAGAGCAAACTAACAGAAATTTTAGATGGTAGAGCTATGCATGAAAGAAGACAGAATTAGTGAGTTTTTAGAAGTCCAGTGGGGAGATATTTTGTGGTTTAATTTCTGCATAACAACAGATAAATTCCTTCTTAACTTAGTATTTCCTAATTTAAATTCTTCTTTCATCTATGTGTTCAAAATTCCTGTATATTTAAGGATAAAATTACCCAAAGGTGTAATTGATCCTTCCAAGTAATAAAAAGAGACAGTAAAACTTTTTCCCCAAGGTACAAGATTATAATAAGAAAAGCTTCTCAGATGTTCAATAAAAAGAAGCAACTCCTCCTCCACAGTGACTTTAACTAAAATGTACTTTTTAAATAAAGTGTTCAGTCCTCATAACAGAGGGTGGACACTGAAAATTGTCTAGACATCACATATCAACTCCCTCCCTTTTGTCAGAGTAAAGAGATCTAGCCTTCTGTGGGAGATTTTAAATTGTGACCTAATAAGTCTCTTGTGGGGGCCATGATCTTCTCATCTTTATATACCAGGCTGCTAAAATAATCTAGCAAATAGTAGCTTCTTAGTAAGCATTGGTTCAATGAATGACATTTATTGTATATACATTTGTAGAAATCAACAGAGTAATATAGCTCTGAGGAGTAAGGAAATAGTTTCTGTAACTAGTAGATGGCCAGTTTTACTCTAAAAAATATATTTAAAACATAAATGATAAAGACCACTTTGACAAAATAACTCCAAATCCAGTTTAGCTTTATATAAGCCTGGGAATCAACTCCTGAGTTACTCGGTGATGTGGTGCTATAAGGAACAGGATAGATGTAAGATGGTCCCGAGATCCTGGGAGTAGAGAATCCCCAGTTCTGTCCTACTTCTTTCAGACCAGGAGGGAGTTGTGCACATATCTTGGCACAGTCTAGTTTCTATATCTCAGTGACTGATCAGAAAAATAATTTTTTCCTTCCAAGAATACAGACTCATCCTGGTGCCTTGCAGTATTTCTGGAATATCTCCTCTGGGTCTCATCAGCTCACCACCTTGTAAAGATGAGAAGAGAGTTGCTTTTCCTACCATTCTTCCCATCTGGTAGATTCTATTTCCCTCCCTCCCCAGATAGTCCTCCTGTGCACAAATCTCATGACAAGATGCATCCTTGATTCTTTGCCTCCGCCTCTTCATTTCCTTCTACTTCAGTTCCTGTCCTTAGAATCAGTTTTACTATGTTAAGCTCTTGTTTTCCATATTTTGCTATGCTGGCTACATCATTTTGGTCAGGATCAATCTCTTTGAAAAAACAAAGTTACGGCTCCAACTCCAACTGAGACTCTCACCATCTTTGTATAAAAGCAGCAAACCACAAGATCATTTCAAATTTTTACTAGCATAGTTATTTTAAAAGGAGAAGAGCAGGAAGAAGATAGTTTTAGAAAGCTTTCCAGATACATAGAAGTTTTAAATTTATTACAACCAGATAATGAATTCCAAACTGTTTTAATACTTCCTTAACTTTGAGTCCAAACCAAGTCTCTCTCTCTCTCTCTCTCACACACACACACACACACACACACACACAAGAAAGTTGCAAAATGGCAGTGCACCTACCTGGGGATAGGGGGAAGTTCTGGATTTTGACTTTGAGCTGGAGAGCCTGGACTTGGCCCCCTTCCTGTTGTCAGTCATGGTAGGAGTGGAGCTGCTGGTGTAGGAGAAGGCTGGTTTAGAGGCTGAGATTTGATCCAGGGAGAGCTGCAACCCTTTGTATTCCGTGTCCCTGTAGGGTGAGAGGACACAGCCCTTAATCTGCCACCACAGGAAATGGCTACATGTGTTCTCTCACCAGGAATGGCAGTAATCCATATTTGAAAAGGAAGCAAGCAAAAGTTAGCCATATAACTGGTCGCCACAAACACCTTGATTATTTTAGAAATGCCTAACATTTAACTAACGCATACAGAGGTAGCTGTATACAGCCAAATTATATGATATGCTCATGAAAATGTCTTGATTTTAAAACACATTTTTGATTACTTTTATAAGTAGAAAATAAATCCATAACTCAACTTCTCTGAGCTTGTGTGTCCTCATTGGTGAGGTACAGATTATAAAATCGACTCTAAAGGATTTTCTGTGTAGGGTGAACTCAACAGACAACTGACCATCTGATGCTATCTGATTATTGGCAAGAAGAAGGTCAGCTGTTCCAAGATCAATCATTGTGGCAAACATTCCTAATATTTTTATAGCTAGCAAACCAGTGAAACTAGGCTACTAAGTAGTTAAAAATCCCTTTTACCAGGCTAACTAATTCAGTTACATTAGGGTACATTTTACCATGAGTTATTTCCACTTCATCTTCAATAAATATCTATTAAGCTCCTACGACATACCAGGTTTTGTGCTATCTGGAAATGAAAGAATGAGTAAGATGCCTAGAGTCCCTGCCCTTCTGCAGATTACAATCTATTTCCAAGAAGAAACAGTGAACAAATATTAAACATAATCATTGCAGACTATGACGTGATGAGGATAAAGAGTATGTCTTGGAGAGTTCATTACAAAGGTATGTGGGTATGAGGTATTTAGTGACTGAAGATGACGGCTATCACCTCAGCCCGCTCCAGGCAGCAGAGAATCTTGACTGACTCCTCAGTTTTCATAAGAGGATATCAACCTTTCCCACTGGCAGGCAAAATAAAATGTGTCATAGCCTTCTTTATGAGGACTCGTGGAAGAATTTCCTTTCAGGTTCCGGAACTAGCTGGGCTGCTCCTGGGTAATTGATTTCTTTTTCTCTCACAGACACCGTGAATCATATAACCCATCATGTTTCCCCCGTTGCCCTGGAAGTCAAAAAGCCCTGAGCCCCAAGTCTGATTTGTAACCACCTCTAACAAGTGGACGAGTCCTCAGGGCAGGCATTTTGTGCAACAAACCTCACTAGCTTCTTTCATTTTCCTAATTTTATTTTTCCTTTTTTTCTAATGAGTTCGCCTTTCTAAAAAATGTACATGCATTTTTAATACTCTTTGGATTAAGATAGGTATATTAAATGTAATAAACTAATAAAGTTAGATATGTTAAAGTGATTGGTAGATTTCCAGGGATCAGCAAAGATTCATTTATCTTCTCTTCCTTTTCCCTATTTGTTCTTCTACAGAGAGATCAGGCAAAGGCAAAAGGATAATTCAGGCCAGGAGTCTCTCAAGTGACAAGGAATAGAAATCAGCTAAAACAGGTTCAATAATATCACTGCCACAAACTACAGTGTGCTGGTATATGTCAGCAAATTACAATGACTTTATATCAAATAGTGCATCTACTCAGTGCGAGTTAAAAAAAAATTATCCTATGTTAGCAACAAAAATTTAGAAGGTGGGCATGCAATTTGTCTTCCAGGCTTGGGAAGTTGAATCATATGACTGGTCTGCTTTACTACTCTAATCATCTCTCAAGGAAAACACACAACAGAGAGTCGTTGCACTCCCAGGTCAGAAATTCAATGCCCTCCAAAATGTGGTTCCCACCTATTTTTCTGACAGTATCTGAAAATTTTCGTTCATCAGCCCCTCAGCTTACCCGAAATAGTTCTCCCCAAACTAACCTCATATTTTCCTCTCTTCCTCCTCCAACACATTCCTATAGAACTCCTCTAATAAAGAACTGTCTTAAATCCTACTTGCCCTGAAGCCCTTCCCAACTGCTAACCCCATTCATTCCTTCAACACATGTTTACTGAGTGAGTGACTCTGTGGAGGCCCTGGGGAGACATCAATAAACAGAAGGACTAAATTGCTGTGCTCATGAAGAAGACACTAGGGCCAGTTCCTTAGGGAAGTAGGGAGGGGACCAGAAACTATCTCCAACCTTATTTTTCAAGTGATAATGTCTATTCTTTCCTAGGGGTTCTAAGTTCCTAGAGGGCAAGAGTCAAGAGACGTTCTGTTATGTTCCAATGGCAACTGCATAATATTTCACACATTTGGAAGAGGAAGAAGATAAAGACGCAGCTCAGAAAGGACTGTTTTCCTCAGTGACTATTAATAACCAGCAGCCCAACAGTATGTCTCTGTTGGAAAAGACCCCCCTGGGCGGTGAGTCCCATGAACCACCTGCCCTGAGATCACATGCATGTGACAGTGAGCAAGATGGTCTCTGACAGGAGGTAGAGCTCCCTTGCTTGGGCATCTCCTGTGTCAAATGGATACTAGTATATCCATTCAGTCCCTTCCCAACAGGACCTAGGCTGAAAACAAAAACCTTGCACCCATGAACATATGGCCACACAATTTTTAAAACACACTCTTAATGCAACATTTCAGCACAGAGACTTCATGGTGATAAATAGAGGTAAACAAGGATTCATTTCTCTCATGTACACCATCAGACCCCCAAAGTATGTATCTCAACTACTGAAGAAGTCTTCCCAAAGTTTTTGCATAGTTTCCAATGATAGAAATACTCTGAATAAGCTTAAATAAAAATTCAAAACCAATAAACGATTTGAAATTCTACACAGTCACATGAAAATGTTAAGAACTATAAGAATAGTTATGCAAATACTTTCGATAAAAAATTTAATATTTCGGTGCACATCTAAAAGGACCACAAAGAATCCACCAAAATAGCAAAAGATCATGAGGTCAGATAGACCATGGTTTGAGCCACTTACTGTGTAACAACCCATCTAGACCTCAATTTCCTCTTTATAACTCAGAGATGGATGTGCTAAGGTTTAGAAAAGTATTATACGAAAAACTCACAGCATAGTACCTAGATCATAGTAAATGCTCAATAAATACTAAGTATTATTTCTTTACTTCCACACTTTGTGGTGCTTTTTTGGCACCTGATTTCCCCAAAACAATAGTTCCACTTTGGTAGCAATTGTAATACATTTTATTACAAACACCTCCTTATGCTGTATTTCTTTCCTCTCTACCACTAACTCATGTTAATTTGCTCTGTTGCTTCTTGGTCTCTAAACTCTATTGCACTATGGCCAAAATACTTACTAAGTAAGGTAAGCTCTTCATGGCTAAGTAAGCAAATGGGGACTTCAGAGCAGCACAGACCTGACATGCTGAGAGGAGCTCAGCCTTCCTATTCCTCTAACAACTCAAAGATGTGTTAAGACGAAAAGCACAATAAAAAAAATACCCACTTAAAGACATTTCAAGTACAGTTGATGTGCTGCCAAGAGCAGCTCTGAATGACAGATTCACTAAGAACAAAGCATTTGTTTTACTTTTAGAATTCTATTAAATCAGAGCATTTCATTTGTATGGATTAAAGGTCTAGATGCTGATGGGAATCACATTATGGGTTCCATTTCCCTCCTCCAAACTCAAACACTCCCTCCCTTCTCCTCAGTGAGGCACATTCTGGTATCTCACACACACACACACACACACACACACACACACACACATCCTCAAAGTTAGGTATATGCCTAGTAAAGCTGTTCAGTGTTCCTCTGTGGAGTGGGACAAAATAAAATACTTGGGTGCACAGCCCTTGGACTCTGAAATGAGTACAGGGAGGAATTTGACTTCGCTGACTTTAGTAAAGGAGGGACAGGACACAGTCCTACTCTACTTCTAAAGCTTTCCTGAAAAGTACCACCTAGACCATGTTCAGGACTCCACAGGCTCCCCTCAGTAGGGCAGCTCATGCTGTTCTCCCAGATACAATCGGCATATCAAAAGAGGACCTGTGGCATATGCCCCTTGGCATATTTTTCAAAATGGTTATTGATATCAATTTACTTTTTTTTTTCTCCCTTGAGTGACCTGTACCAGAGCTGCAGACATCAGGTACCTCGGCTCCGAAAGCAATGTGAAATGGGTAATTTGCAATCACGGACTTGCAGCTTGTCAATCTCACTTGTATTTGCACAGACCAAAGTAATCCTCTTATTCCATTATGGACAGTCAGAAATCATTCAATTTGCAGAATTAACCATCTGAGTCTACTCTAAACTTTATAATAGTCATGTACATATTTGGAATTACTCAAATTCCAATAGAATAAAAGGGGCCATTTTTGCATCATTGGCCTTCTCGGCCTTCCCTTCAGCAATATGCCATGACCACTCACGAGGTAAGTGCCAACTTGCCATGTGGGAACCTCAGTGTGATGCCCTTGCAAAGCAAATAAGAGTTATCTTCATCACTAAAAAGTACTTTTAGCTTCAGAGAAATGCATTAATATAATTTCTATCATTTTGACTGGGAGACTGGTGTCCATGATGCCAACAGCAGCACTACAGTATTTACAACCTTCAAGTGAGTTGGAATGATTGTACAGATAAGCAATCAGCAGTATTTTATCAGCTCATGTTGAGTCAAGATTCTTCACAAGAACCTTTCCTCTTCAACTCTGCCATATCCTATTGTGCTTCCATTTTAGACAAGTGACTTTTTGCTTCTGTCATGTCAGTTTTGAAGCTGGCCATTGTGAAGTGTCTTTGCTGGCTTTACATTATGGGGCAATACTTAAAAGATGTTGCCAGATTTCCCAACTGAGCTATTAAAAAAAAAAAAAACCAGCTGAAGGTGATCAAATTACAGAGGAAAACGTGGAAACAGAGACATACAATTGATTTGGCTCCAAAGGCGCTGACTGCAATAAGCAGAGGATTGCATTAAACTGTGATCGGATTAAGTAGGAATGACTGCGTCTTATACTAAACTTTTTAATTGGATTCTCGAATCACTGTCACACGAAGTGCGTGACCTTCTTTATATTCTGGCAGAGTTACCGCCTGGCCAC